GGTTTTCTTTAGAAGCGGACACATGCTGCCTCACTTTCTTATTCACCAGGCTCTTAATTGCCGATTTATTAGACCCCGATTGCCTGCCGGCTTCGACCGTGGACTGCACAATGTCCACAACAACAGAATCATTAGCACAAGCTGCGCTAACACCCTCCCCATCCATTACTGCAACAACAACATCTGCAGAGCATATCGCGTCAGCGATGAAAGCTGCATGTGCTTGCAGATACACAGATTTTACCGACTTGAGGTTTAATCCCTCGTTCACGTAAAAGAAATCACAATTAGCAGAAACAGTCAAATTTAACCATTTTTATTAACAAGTGCTTCGAGCGAGTTAACAGTAGATAAGCTAAGATCGTGCATTGTCAAGACAAATCGCATGCATGACATAACGTATTCATTGTAGATTCGTACCTTAAAAACGCTGCGCAAGTTAGGGTGGTCGACTTTCTTTAACAATGCATCCAGGCTCGAAAAAATCAAATTTCCACTGTTAACCGATTGATTTTTATTAAAAATATGAACACCCAGAAATTTCATAGGATCGTTAGAGATATTTGAAATGCTCTCCCCATTAATTTCGAAAGTAGTATCAGACGAAAGTCCCTTAGAAAGTGAAAAACAGCGGCATTTGCTGGCATTTAAATGCAACCCGACGGACTTCATACGCACATTAACTTCACGTAGCAGTCTCTTCATGCTGGCATTATTGTTAGTAACAAGCGTCAAATCATTGGCGAATGCAGGCGAAACTATTTTTTCTCTGGAACGCTATCAAACGCAATTCCACGTTTTTGATTTTCTTCAAAAACTCAATTACACAATTAGATGCAATAAGGTACAGCGAACAACTCATAGTATCACCCTGGAACAGTCCGACATTGAAAGGGATACGCTCAGAAAACGTATCGTTATGATAGACTTTAATCGCCAATCCCCGTGTAATAATTATTAATGTAACTGATCAAATATTCAGGGACATTATATCTGCGTAACGCCGCTAAAAGAACGTCCTTACGCACGGAGCCGTATGCATTAGCTACGTCCAGCCATGCAACATGCATAGCGCGTTTCTTCGAACGCTGTTGCTCAATCAGTTTGAGCAATTTTAAAGAATGTTCTCCACACCCGTTGGTCGCCTCGATAAATCCTTTTGAATATCCGTGTTGATTATTTTGTTTTTTTACGCAATAGGACATCAATCTTTTCGAAATTACTGAATGAAAACTTTGCCGATACAGCTGGTCAGCGTGATCGGCCGATAATCTGGATCAGAGCTGTCCCCCTTTTTAAATAACAGCACCGTCTTACCCACCTGCCATGAACTGCACGTCGTACCGGTAGACAATAATCGGTTAAACATATTAGCTAAGAATGTATGTACAGCCGGATACGGTTTCAAAAATAATTAATGCCATCCAATCCTGACCCGGCAGCTGCGTCATTCTGTGCCAAAATGTTTTGATATCGGAGGAAAATAGGCGAATTATCAAAGGCGGTGGTTATAAGTTTAGTTTAACTTATTCACCCAAGAAAAATTTAGAGGAGGAGATTTTGCGGGTTACAAACATTGGTAAAGTATTCTTCGATATCGGACATTTTAAGGGCATGAAGGAGCATCGGCTGGAAGCTTTTAAATTTACGTCAATAAAATTCCACATTCGTTTCCGCCAGCTATCGTTTTCCTTACGCTCGGCATTAAACCTCAGCTGCGTGATTTTGGCTGACAAAGTTTTCCGGATAGTCTTCAGATACTGCAGTCTTTCCGCATATGATAATAAAAACTCCCTATCAGCTGACCCCATCCTGCGCTTATTTCGTTTCAGTTTATTTATTTCGGTACACACTTTCTCCTTTCCTTGATCAACGCAGCTGGTACTGCAAATTTACAGTTTTTTACTAAAAACTTCCCTTGTGACTGTCTGCATTGCAGTACTAGTAATGCATACTGCGCTAATCCCCATGAAAAAATCTCGAGGCATTCATGTGCGGCCCAGACACGTAAATCGCATGCAGAAATGAGTTGATTGCAAAAATCACCAAGAAAAGAATGAAAACGGACCGGTGCGGTATGATGCAACTTATACCAGTTCGGAGGAAGTATTTTCAGACGAGAGGTATTAGAAGATATTATAGTTTTAATATCGATTTGCACGTTACCGCATACCACGTCATGCAGATGTTGCCTAAGTCGTTCTTCCTGCCGGATTGAATGATTGGTGGGTTGACATGGTGGTTTTAAACAAAAACAATAATCCGGTGTTGTTGTTGGTGGCAAAACAAAGGTTCCGTAGTTTAAGAGATGGATCACGGCAGCTTTCGCAAAGCACCAGTTTAATAACACATCCGCTAGCAAAGGTGGACTTTTACAAGCAACTTGACCAGCCAGCTCAGAGCAGCAATCGCAAGTGAGCAGCAATCGCAATCGCAGTCTACGAGACGCGCCGGTTCCGTAATGCCCATTCAATGTATACCAGTGTTCAATTTACGCGAGTGTTCAAAGTCACAGGTTTTACTGCATTTTTAAATACTAATAATTTCTCCACGCAACGTTTTTTAAAGGATCTTTCAAGGTCACCTTGAACTCATGCCTGCACCGGTGCCGGCATCCGAGCGATGGTCTCAGGGCAGATATTTTTGAAAACAAAATGCATGTGCAACCCTTTTGGAACATGCAGAGTTTAATGGTGAAATCGGTTTTTTAATTTGTTCAGCGGTTTTTTCTAGCCAAGTTCCACGGGGTGGCAGATCATAATATAGATCTATTTCCTTGATATTTCCTTGATATTTCGTTGCAATGTATACTGCATGGCAGGTGTTCTGACCCGTGTGTTGCCGCGAGTAGACTCACTGATGTTAGTACTAACAATATGGTCTACACGGAAGATCGTGAGCAATAACATATGCTCCGGCTTTTAAATAACGCCGTGTAGTCACAGAGATAGTTTCGGGATTACTCTTTCATGCTACGCGAAAATATACCTAATTACACCGTGGCCGCTTTTGTCCTAATAATTAACTGTTAGCGTTATTCACGTATACAGTAGGAGTAGACAGCGCACCTCGTTATTTTGTGGTTATGCGTGCACAAATTCAATCGTACATCCCATAAAAACCATGGCATCCCACGATGCTTTTCTCCGTAGTCAGTTATTGATTACTCACTATTTCCGTCTTGCTGTTGCATTTTTAATTTCTAGAAATTGCATCGAGGCAAGCACTACTGATTTAAATTATTGTGATCATAAAAATGCTGCTGTTGCTGCATTTATTGGTTTCATTACGTTACCAGCACTATAATTGTCTCGCAAGCGGCATTTAGTTTTGTAAACCTCGTTGCAGGTAGAAAAAAATGTTAAGGGATTTGGCCCGGTACAAAGCACCAATTTCGTGTACATACGCGGGAATAATCGCTTCCGCGCACTTCCAAACACTTTTTTGAGTTGCTTTTTGACATTGTGTAGCCAGAAGATTTGTATACATAGGCGTGAAATCCATTTTTGAGCGCAACATCCAGTTCGGGAGTTACGGCTGTTAGAAAATTCCAAAAAGTTTAAATGCATGGATCCATCCCTTTTCAAATTTTGCACGTAAATGCGCATAACCATGAAGATCGTTCTTACACGGATCCAGACTTCCACGATTCTTTTCGGTTTTTAAAATTTTGAAGTGAATTTTTGAAAATCACTTTAAAATTTTAAAAACATGCTAGAACAGTGGCGCGACAGTGAAAGTTCCCCTGGATGTACATACGAGTTTGATGCTATGTACCGGGCCAAATCCCTTAAGTGTTTACAAATGTTGCTGAAGAAAACTTACAATAGGAATCGTTTACAGAACGGGTTTACAGTCAACTGAGCAAGTACTTACTATTATACACTACTTCTATAGAGCTTTACATTTTACCGAATTAGCACACACATAAAAGTACACGAAAACTTTGGCTTCCGCGCACTCCCTAACATATACAGATATTTCCATTGTTTTATGAAATTTGCACCCAAATGATAGGTATGCGGTGGCATAAAAACTGTTTATACCCCAACATCCAGTTGAGAAATCATGTGGCGTTAGTACTAAAACGGGAGGCCAATGTCGAAACACTGGCGGAATTTTCGAAACTTTTTAAATTCATTTGAAGTCCATACTTAAAAATAATTTTGCAGGAAAAGGTGTCTTCCATAGATTTGGGCGCTCCGCATCCATATGCAGAAGGTGGGGTTCAGCTACATGCGGAAACGTTTTGGAAATTCCCTGCGTTTTGAGGATACGCCTAAAACAATGGCACACCGGCAGTGTGCACTAATGGTAAGTACCATTTCTTTTACTTCTTTTCATGATTATCACGGCTTCAATCAGACACTAGCGAGTGCTTTAAAAACTGCATGTACCTCTATTTGTACGTTAGTACGTATTATTTGTACGTATCTGGCGCGTCTGCAAGCGAAAGTGTTGGGGGGTACGCGCATTTCTGACTTCCGCGTGTATAGTATGCTTGGAGTGGATATAACCTTTCATTGGCACTTGAGCGCAACAAATCAGGTGTGTTGATCATATCCCAGCCTGTGCAAATCCCATCCGAGTCGTGTAATATTATTGTACATATGTACAATGTCGGTCTCTCCAAACGGGGGGTTGTTCTAACCGCGCTGTTGCTGCTGTGCGTTTTTTCTGTCTGTCTGTTGGTGGAAGAGCTAAAGCTGTGTACAATGTAGGACGAAATGGTCGCATAGCCCCATACCCAGCATTCTGTACGCAAGCGGTGCAGTGCACTTGTACGAAACGGATATTTTGAACTCAGTCGTACAGTGCACTGCGCTGCATTCGTACTGAATGTGGAGATGTTGGGTATGCGACCATTTTGTCCTAAGCTTTACGTTAGAGATGATTTAAATAACCAAATATACTCTCACGTCAGCTGTTTTACCTTGTCCCACTTGTTGTGTGCTACTGCTGCTCTAGCTGGCTCGCGTTGGTTTTACCTGACCGGCAACCGACGACGACGGGACGGACAGTTGATTCCGCTAATATGATGTTATCCTTTTAGTATGACTCGAATATTTTGTTGATTAGAGAATCTCGTTTACAGTTTACTCATAAATTCTCATGGATTACTAACGCTTTCTCAGGTATGTACATCTCTCACTTGTAAACAAGTGAAAATTGTGACGAAGTGCATAAGTCGTAGCGAGTCATCTCTGAAAGCTTCTTCGCAACATTTTCTTATATAAAACTAACTGCTGATTAAGTTGCGCTTTTCTGTGCAACCAATTAATTACGAATATATCAGCGCAAAGATTACACAATTACGCAAAAACACTCACACCTCAGGTTGTATAAAAAATTCATAGATAAAAACAAAAGGAGGTTCCGCCTAATAATTACTGTGAAGTGGCAGGTTAGTGGTTTAGTATGAATATAAGCTGTGAATTTACTAGCAGTTGTAAGAAAATGATGGAACTTTATGTTTGACAATTTTTAGTACTCGTAATATTTTTCGTGGGCTCTTTTTGAAGTTTCAAGCTTTTATTTTTCTCTTTAAATATTAACGTTACACACTGGCTATAAACAGTCCGACGTGGAATCTTAAAAGTTTTATTAGAATGCAACAAGTGGAAGGTTTTAAGTTGTAAGGTTTAAATATCCCGTAATTAAAAAGACGTTATCGCTCGGTCTACTGTCTGAATATTTTTATTCTGTCAAAAATTAACATGGTTGTAGATAAAATTTTGCGTTTTTAAGGATATGGTTTAGCTGTTTTTGCTTTAATATGTTTATCTCTGTATTCGCTGTATTCGCTGCTAAGCAAGTTCATCGCCCATTTTGTTCTCATAACAGGAGTACATTATCACGTCTGTTTTTCAAATACATACAGCCGATTGGAAATGTCCGTACTTTTAACGACGACACCGCACCAGTTATAACCGACTGGTCATAACAATGGAAGAAAGTGAACGGAAGAAACGAGTGTTGATCTTTCTCACGTTTCTGGCCAGTTGTATTGGTATTGCCCTATTATCGACGGCGTTAGCCACTGATTACTGGATTGTTTCCCGGCTGAAAGACATCAACTCGAACAGCAGCAACAACAGCACTCCATTAGTACTATTAACAGCAATCCCATTGATGAGGCATCTTTGTTAGCCGGTGCGACTGCCGGCGACAACGAGACCTATCGCTTCGCCAAGCAAATCCTCACGAAAAACCGGCCAGGTGGCTGGATTAATTTCGGACTGTTCCGTGGATTTGTCCGCTACAATAAAGGCCTTGGTGATCGCCAGGCTGAATTGAAAAGTGAGCAATGCATGTGCGAGTACGCTGATATCGCATTACGTACCTTTACGTAATTAGTGCTAAGCGAATCTGTAATATTAGTGCCACTGTGCCACAAATTATACACTTATTTGACACTTATTTATACACTGTAGATGTCACTTATTTGAAACTTTCATTTTATTTTTCCATAATATAGTATACAGATATTAAAACACTGATAAATTTTAAATATGATTAAACATTTTAAAGACTTTAATAAATTTTTAACATAATTCAGCTTGTCTATACTTGTCTTGCTACTGTTGCCTGACATTATTTTATAATTAATCACTTTACAAATTTATTGAACTTGTTTCGTGGAACTAAGCTATCATAAATGCACGTAAATAACAGTTATTATATCCCTAATTTTGTACTACGTTCGAGCGTGTATAATCGTAAAAAATTAATTCAGGAGTGGTTCTGAACTTATGGTTGTAAATGACATCAAATATTTTAGCACTGCAAATTAGTAAGTGGGAAACAGCTGCATATGTATGGATATGATAATAATGACCAGCGTGTTAACCGATGTTTGTTGCATTGAGTGAAGCTGTGTGCGATGTGTCGTGTTACCACCTGATGATCGTGGATCCGGAACACAGTATCGCATTGCCGGCTGCATCGACACAACAGCCAGCACAGCACCTGTTGAGCAATGTATCCGCTCTTGACCTTTCCGATGCCGATCTCCCATATGGTGAACTGTGCATGAGTGAACCCGAAGGCATGTTAATCACCAATGTTATTAACACCCGTACTTCCTTTGTTTTACGGCGTAGTATGTATATGATCTTCACAACGTTGTATTGCGTTGCAGCATCGCTACATATAACGACAGTTTTAAATCACGCATTAACATATTACATTATTCTGAATTTCCAAGCCAAATATGCAAACGAACAACAGCTACAGGTTTAAATCGTAATAGTCAGCTTCCGATTCATAGACGTAACCGACTTATTTTTTCCAAAGGTCCAACTAGGATTTTTCAAAATGTCCATCTTTTTAATTTTGGATTATGGGCAGCAACCATATTCTTCGTCTGTCTGGGAATTTTCTTTGGAGTTGTTGCAGCAGTTTACGGACTTCTCAATACGACATACACACCTATATCTGTAATCAATGGGATTTTCGGCATGTACATTTGGAATGGAATCGGAGGTAAGTTGGTAACGATAAAATACATTTGTTTTGGGTGCATTTAAAGTGCGAAATCCACTGCTTCGATCATTTTTTGCACTAAATCCAAGCGATTGGTTAGTATCATGCTACTCGATTTACCGTTAGACATGGAAAAGGAAACAGAATTTTTTATGATCCAATACGTATAACAAGAATAAGCAGCCTTAAACATTTATTCACCGTTAGTTTGGATAACTTCTATCAATGAATGCATATATTCTGGATTGTGTATTAAATTCTGTTTTGACAGCATTCAAAAAATCAAATTAAACGAACACACAATTAATTAATGTATAAAACTGGTATCAGAGTTTTTTCTGGAAATTTAATTTGGAGCCACAAGATACAACCTCTATACTACTTACACGGTTATTTTGTGTTTATTTTTAACTTTGGAAATCGTATTTTGCAGTGATAAGTTCCTGCTGTCCATGTTGATATGGGTGATCCTGTTCTATACGCACTTCCAGTACAACGTTCTTCCGGCGGAGCTCCTGTATCCGCGACCGAAGTTCAGCACCTGCGGCAGCGCGGAACTGGGCTTCTCCTTCTGGCTGTGCCTGGTGGCCATGCTACTGTTTGCCTTTAATATCATTTTATTAACACTCAAAGACATTGAACTCAGACGACCTTCCGTTAAGCATGTTGTGCCTAGCAATGACAATATGTTTATGTATTAAACGCATCTGCACATTTAATGGACCGTGTGCGTCCGACTCCGTGCGCCACCGCTGTCAGCCGATATTAGAATGCAAATATGTAATCGAACAAGCCGGATTAAAATCTATTCTTGTATTTCCATTTTTTTATCAGCGCGTACAACATACACTGTATAAACGCCGTGGGAGGCGCCGATATTTCTAGTATTGCTGGCATATCGAATACGTTAAAGTGCACTTTATAATGCAGTTAACTCCCAATTTCAAAGCAATATTTAATGCCCAAACAACTGGGGACTAGCCAATTTAATGCACAAATCAACAACGACAAATAAATTTGTTGTTCCACGAGAAGAAAAAATTGTTTTGAAGTTGTGTATTTGCAGTCTTCTTTAACTACAGATAGACCATATTATACTCGTTTAAGCTGTAAAACTTATAATTATATCACATGGTTTATTTGTATTCTGAATTATATGATAAGTAAGTAATGTAACAGCAGTCAAGAGTCTTAAGACTCACAACTGCATATCTCTGCTTAAAATAAGCTTTTCATGATGTGGTACGTTCACATCACGATCAGGAAGTTGAAAATTAAAATTCAGGAAATTTGGCTTTCTACATATAAAACCTTAAAACACTGGAGTATAATGTGAGTCACTCTTTGGTGTAACTTTTTATTTAAATTTTTAAACAAAAGTGTCTGGTTGCAGCCATGAGAATCGTGAAACCAAGCTTTTAAGATGTCAGTTCCTGTATTACAAAATGTAGCCGTTCCTGAGGCGTACGATGGTATCGCGTAATGCTAACAAAGCAAGTTATTTCAGAAAATAAGGTAAGCAGTTAACTACTTATCGTAATTAATTTGCATTCGCTTTCAAATGGCGGGACGGTATTGAAATTGGGCGTTTGCAGGATGTCGGTTGTTTGAGAACGGGCTGTAGCAGGCACATCCAGTGCGCTGTACCGCTCAGCGTGACAGTCCCGAATGCCCGTGTAGCGGGTGTGCGGGAGCATGCCAGCTGGCCGTTCCCCTGCAAGCCGAACCCCTTTTTATTGTGAACAAATGTACGGTACAAACACATCACCGCACATAGGGCGGGTGGGTTGGGAAAACAGTTTGGACTTGCAGTTTGCGCTAAAAACCATTATTCGGAGCAAAGCTGAAGTCAAGTGTAGACATGTAATGAAATGCCGAATATGAATGATTAAACACATGCTATACAGCAATGTAAGGTAATACTCTACTATAGCATCATGTGTAGGATGTTGCCACGGAAACCAGCGGTGGGCTGTCTGGGAAAACAACTGCCGCTCATGCAAATTAACCGCAATTAAATAAATTTAATTTATCTTTAATTTGCATTCGCTTTCAAATGGCGGGACGGTATTGAAATTGGGCGTTTGCAGGATGTCGGTTGTTTGAGAACGGGCTGTAGCAGGCACATCCAGTGCGCTGTACCGCTCAGCGTGACAGTCCCGAATGCCCGTGTAGCGGGTGTGCGGGAGCATGCCAGCTGGCCGTTCCCCTGCAAGCCGAACCCCCCAAACAACGGCCCCAAATTAAGGCTTTGGGTAAAGCGATATGCCGGTTAGTGGAACTTCCTGGCGTATATAGGATGCGTAAGCATCAGATCTCCAGCGTCCGGCACGCTGAATGTCGTGAAATGGTGTTCCATTAGCGGCTGCACTGGAAGCGGCACCTATCCGGAAACTGTGTGGGGTGAACAGATGATTATTAGGAACTCCGTGTAAAGCCAAAGAGAGCTCGCGAGTAAAGGCACATCTCTGCACCGGCAGGCCATCGGCGGTGAGGTACAGGGCAGTGTGCGGGCTTTTTAGACTTTTTCTAAGTGCTAGGTAGCTCCGCATCGCCCGTACAGCACAGACTGACCGACCGGAAGCCTGTAACGAAATGCGACAACCTTCGCGATATTGGTCAGTTTTAGATGACCGGAGGTGTAAATAAACCTTCCCTTTTTCATATGACACATCCTTGAACAATATAAAGTGGCTTCCAGATAATGGGATAATTTCTCCAATGCGCAGAAAAGCAAAGAAACACAATGTAAACATGCTCCAGTATAACTGTTTTTCATAGGGTGACAGAAGGGAGGAGCAGTCGATGTTAAGTTTCATAATTCGCATATGATCGATAGTAATTGGTAGTCTACGATCAGAAACAGTACCGCGCAGACGCTTGTAACCAATGAGACATTGTGAAATATTCGGTGCATTGAACTCAAAACTGAGACCACATTCTCTGAATGCATTAAAAAGTGCTGATAAATAAACTTTAGCTGATGAATAAGATAAGCCGCTTTCGAAGAGAAATGCCACGTAACGTAATACGGTAGATTTAGTAATGTGTGCCGAAGACAGGCGAAACTTTCTGCAAAACTCAATAAATCTGTTTAACGCACTCTGATAAGTTTTCCGGGAAGATGTCGCAATATGATTAGAACGCAGTTTATTAATAGTTGAGTCAAGAGAATTTAATGATACATCAGGTGATAATCGTAAAGCTCGCGCAAGATATTTTCCGGCACTGGCGTGGGGTTCAAATCGGCATTTGGCGCTAACATGAGAAATCGATTTATCTGAAAACGGGACAAAGCATCAGCAATCTTATTATCGATACCAGATATGTGCTTAATCGTCATTGTAAAATTAACTCGTGCTGCTATGGCCACCATTCGCCGCATCAGCTCCAATACAATCTTGCTTCGCGATTTATAATTTTCCCACGCCTGAGATGCACCAAGATTGTCACAGTGGAAAATTACTTTTTTTCCTTTTAACTGTGATCCCCATAATGTAAGCGCTACAAGTATGGGAATGATCTCAAGGCACTCTATGGAAAATTTAGCGTCCAAAATATTAGGTGGCCAGCGTAGCTGAAACCATGCGCCGTTAAAATAACCACCGCACCCAAGCGTAGAAGAAGCATCAGTAAATAACTGAATCGCATCGCAGCGAGTCCAGTTAACCTCTAAGAATTCCGCTGTGCCGTTCCATTTTGGAAGAAACTCCAACCACCAATCAACATCTTTGTGGAAGTCGTCGTCAAGAAAAAGTTTTTCCGCATTAGTGACCGATGACAGATTAGCAATCAGCCTTCTCGTAAACAGCCGACCGACCGGCACACATTTAGACGCAAACATAAGAGAACCGATTAAGCTCTGAAGTTCGGTACGAGTACATACAGTTTTCGTCTTCCACATAGTGAGCATGGTCACCATTTCAGTCAGCTTGCCATGCGGTAAGCTAAGAGTTTGCGAAACCGAATCGAGAAGGATGCCGAGAAATTTTAGTTTGGTAGATGGGCCTTCGGTTTTTTTAGTAGCAAGCGGCACGCCCAACAAAGTGCAAAGGTCACTAAATTTAATCATCAGCTGAGAACAAAAATGTGAGTCAGAAGTAGTGGCTAGAAAGAAATCGTCAACATAGTGTAACATGTAAATATGACCAGTTTCATGCACAAAGATCCAGTGTACAGCATCAGAAATCAGACAGAACAAATACGGAGAGGAACGCGAACCAAAAGGAAGAACAATATCAAAGTAGAAAAGACCGTTACACTGATAGCCAAGCAAATGCCAGTCAGCCGGTCTAACAGGCACCAAACGGAACGCATGCTGAATGTCGAATTTAGCCATCAACGCACCTTTACCCAGCTGGAGAAGGAGACGTACTGCATCGTCGACGCTACAGAATGTTAGCGAGTAATCATCTTTGTTGATGTAATCATTAACGCTTTCTCCAGTTGGGCGAGACATATCCATCAATATGCGGTATTTTCCATCCGGTTTAGGCCTGACGCCGAGTGAATTTATAACGAATGTACTAAATGGCGGAGTAATAAATGGTCCGACTGAATGCAGTAGTGAAACTTCCGTATCAATTTGATTTTGGAGGTGCTGTGAATACATACGAGCGGACGCTGCATTAGGAGTAGATAGAGTACGAACGGGACCGCGATAACCGATATCCGCTCCAGAACGCAGTACCTGCAGTACTAATGAAACGTACGGTCGATCCGGGTGCATTTTTAGAAAATGCGCAAATGCATCCGCTTTCAGTGGCGTAATGATGCTATTGGGCACCGTTGCCTGCTTTTGCTTTGCACTGTGGTTCGCGATGCTCCCGCTGACCGCAGTTGGCACATCGATGCTGGCGGCCGTAACGGCAAAATATACCAGTTGTGCAGTGTCCTTTGTTCCAAAGGTGGCAGACTTCGTCGATTTTAGATCCCCCGTTGCCGGCGGGGAGGTTGAGAAAAGACTGCCCAACCCAGGAGGTACGGCGGCTGCCGGCATTACTGCGCAGCAGCAACGGACATTCCGGTCGAATATGGCCGAATTCACTACAGTGGTAGCACTGGATGACGTTGGTTCGACTCGCACCAATAACGGGATGATCAGTATCATGCCCGACAGGTTGAGATAAATATTCTGTATAAGCATCATCGTTCTTTCGGGACCACTGCAAAACGTCATCAGGGTTGCGACAGACTGCAAGCCGAAACTGCCGGTCGTAAGCAAGCCATTGTTCGGTTGCAATGCCTTTCAGCGCGGCTGTCTGAGCAATGTGATCCATGTACTTAGACATCGGCAAGCTCAGTTCCGGATGCACTGCACACCGATACATTTTAAGAACATTAAATGCTCTGAACCACTGGTGGAAATCGCGAATCGGTTCGGTCTTTGCCGCGGATGCCTTCGACGTGGATGGTGCATGTGACATGCAGATGTTGGGCAAAAGGTCACTGAGGTTTACGAACTCTTTCTTACTGAACAATTTGTACAGCAAAGGTTTGTCAACGGGTGTCAGCAAAATCTTAACATTTTCCGGTAGAGAATCGAAAATTGCAGTCGCTTTACGGCTAAGAGTCGTAGCAGCATTACCGGTGAATGAGACGCCGGGATCATCGCTTACGGTTACTGCATTACCTGGGTCAGACACAGGTGATAGGTCGCGCAGGCGGTGCTGTAAACTGGCGGACTTGCCGGACTTGCCGGAGTTCTCGATTCGAACACGGCTTGATAACGGAGAAAACGACCGCACACTGTTGTCGGATGCCGGAACTACTGTGGCGACGGATGCCGATAGATCAGCGATCTGTTTCTTCAGTAGTTCTAATTGTTGTTCCATTGCCGATTTCTTTTTGGTGATACCGGGATTAGTAGTTGCGCTTCGGGTGCTTCGTCTTGTGTTGGTGACACCACGTCCGGATCCGCGAGGTCGCCCACGCCCACGATTCGAACTGCCACGTCGCCCGTCAGGTGCCATAATATGTGCGGGTACAGAGGTAGTGCAGATAGAAAAACACGAGATGATGTGTGCAGTATAGCAGTACTCCGATCAGTTCAGACGAACGACTCAAACTTGCGATCTTGGACAAAACAGTTTGGACTTGCAGTTTGCGCTAAAAACCATTATTCGGAGCAAAGCTGAAGTCAAGTGTAGACATGTAATGAAATGCCGAATATGAATGATTAAACACATGCTATACAGCAATGTAAGGTAATACTCTACTATAGCATCATGTGTAGGATGTTGCCACGGAAACCAGCGGTGGGCTGTCTGGGAAAACAACTGCCGCTCATGCAAATTAACCGCAATTAAATAAATTTAATTTATCTTTAAACAGTTAGTGGCAGCATGGCAAACCAAAAATTCGTTTACTCGTACATACATGCGCCGCAGTGCGGCCGTAGTTTCTTCCGTAATGCAAGCAGTGTAAATAACATATACTTAGTAATTAGTATTATGTACACTAGTACTCGCGTACATTGTCATTAAGTGTAATTCTCTCAGCGCAAACGCTTTTATTAATGAAAATTTTAGGAAAGATAAAAAGATTACAAACTGAGATTGCTTATTCTTCATGTGTCCAAATCTTCCTGAGGCTAACCGAACCTGGTTGCTGAGGGTCTTCATAACAGTTAGGAGCATTGAAGTGCGTTATAACAGCAATATGACGCACAGCCTAGCTTAACGGTGTATTTCCACCTTGCTTGCACGTCTCTGCACTAAAAAAATTTGAAGAGAAGAATTTTGGGACTTTATATTACTAAAAGGTCACATATGTATGACTCCTTGCATGCAACGCAGACCTGAAATTGCTTAATTCCGTTACTTTTTTATATTTGAAATTATCAGTACAGTTTGGACGATGAATACGTCTACTACACAACGTAATGCAGTTTCTGAAGCTTACTGTTATTATTGCAACAGACCAAAGGACAAAGGAGCCTATAATAGAAAAAAACTGGCGAAAATTAGTATTTTTAAGTACGTGTGCAGTAATTTTAAAGTTTTGGTAAAACGCTGACGTAACTACAGATCTACATAGATTGTGTTTACGGTACCTTATGCTTTGTCCGACTACATACCATAATGTGATATACAGGTACTCGTAGGCATCCGAATACGGTAAATTCACTTACTCGCAACAAAAATCAAACCCTGCAAGTGCGGTAAGAAACGTGGAATGAAATGTTCTTGACCGTCGCAGATTCAATACAATCCCAGTTGTACCCAAAGTGCAAAAATAATAATACCCAAATCGGGCATAGAACGATATCGCTGTACCGGCACGCCGGGTGCAAATATATATACGTTAGGCTTTTTTTCCGGCCATCCGCAATTCAGAGTTACAAACATGCACTCTGCTTTCTCTGGGCAATCGTTTGTTTTACAGAACCGAGTTCTATATGGACATCTCGGTAATAATTATTATTACGTTCGAGGATTTTTAGCGGTATGCACCTACTGCGGTAAGTTAAAACAATGCCCCGGTTCTATTCGAGAAAAAAGCGCCCATGTCTTCTTCATCCAAAAGATGTCCTTTGGATGGTTGTTTTTTGAGTTTCAAAAAGCCATAATATAGTTTCGTAGACCATGTATTTTAGATGTGAAAATGTACATAAAAAGGAGCTCCATAAGTATACTGAAACATGCCGTTCTAAAGACGGCGTTTTGTGCTCCGATGATGTCTAAAGCACGTCAAAAAATTGCTTGCCGTAGAACCGGGATGGAATGATGACGCACTTACTTGTACGTAAGATTGGGACGATGATGATTATCAGAGTATACAGGTTTTTTATAAAATTAAGTTTATAGTGTTTGATTTTGCCTAAAAAATAGCACTGGTTTCACAGGTTATGCCGCTGCTTTGTGTTCCGACTGGACCATTACAGCTTACAGTCTGACCCGAGTTTTGACCATCTGCGCGCCACTGCGCTTCGCAACAACCTTCACGGTGCGCCGCGTCCGAATATTCTTGATCTGCATAATCCCATTTGCTCTGGCAGCCTTTATGTCGGAAATAGCCACATTCGCTACACAGGCAGACGCTCGCGCTCGCGACACTTGGGCTAAACAGTGGCACACGGTGGAATTCTTTGCCAGTCACGTAAGTGACCTTTGACGCCACAGGATCGCTTAATCACTGACAAGCTTAGCTGTTATTACAGATGCTGGTTCCGCTGTTTACGATGATTGTCGTAATTGTTTCTAACGTAACCGCCGGAGGGCGGTTGGTGCAGCGTCGTCTTATGCGAAAACTGCAAAAGAACAAGAATGTCCCTAAAAATAATAATAATTCGAACGCCGCACTGCCGATGACTCCGCCAAAACCAGATAAAAATATCAGGGCGCATGGTGGGGAAAAGCAGTCTGCCGCCGCCTTCCAGATGCTTGTAGCGGCCGTAATTGCCGACCTTTTTGCCAAAGTACCGCTTCTCCTATGGAATATTAGTCAAGCCTTGGAGCAGGGATGCTTGTTTCACTTTACCGTAGAGCAGGCTGTCATTGGAGCGGTGGGATATAGAAACTGCCTCTTCGCCGGAATTTCCCTAAAATTTTTTCTGTATTGTGCAGTCAGCCGGGATTTTTTAAAGCGGACTGTCAAGATGATTCGGTACTGCAAAATACCGGAGGCGGAACGTCCCCCGCATTTACAAACAGGGAACACCCGCATTGTAAACACAAAATAGTCATGAGTGTAACGATTTTGCCACCGTAGCACTGGAGCTAACTCATTACTTATTTTTACTAACCAGTAAGTATGACTGAATTGTTGTAGCATATTTATATACTCTGTATGTACCGTATTGTACCATCACCAGCTATACTACTCAACACACATTTACCAAAAAAGATGGCACACAATTTCCGTAATTTTGTTTCGCATTTCAGTGATGACTTTTCACTGAATTTAGGTAGTATGAGATACCATTTTTAGATAATAAAAATAAGCACGATTTTGCACTTACGACTCACGCACATAACCGGTATGTACTTTTACTTGTACAGTAGTTGCCCGGTTCGATTTCGTAAAAAGGCATTCATGGATTAGATGTGCCGAGCACCGTCAAAATACGGAGCCAGGACGGATGCGTTTTAATTGTAACAATTTCGTTGTAATTTTACGTAGTCTACGTACTCCAGACGTACCAATTAACGTCAAACATTGCGCGATAACTCTACTTAAACATACTGTCGCCGTCACGTCTCTGGTCTGCACAACACACGTCAAAAAAGTGCTACCTGGCGAACCGGGTTGAAAGATCAACGGCTGACCAGCCAGTTGCGCCGGTATTTCTTTGCAAGAATATCGAGACGAGGCACTCGTTATGCCGTAACCATCTAAAGCTGATTCCATAATAATAAAAATGTCTTTTAGCATTTTATGTTTACTCTAATGACTGTGAAGTAACCTCGGATTTCCAATGATATTGGTCTTGTGTCTGACTGCATTATTGTGGGAAAAGTCTATTTCCGCTAGGAAATTTGTGAAATAACACAAGTCCTAAGCTCAGCAGCAAAATCTCTAAGGTGCTGTATCTTAAGAGAGAGGGTCCTTTGCTTTAGCGTGCTTACTCGAATAGACACCTTGGAGTGTACAGCGATAGCGTTATCATCTCATGCTGTTTATTTTGTGATTAAGATAATCCACATATCGCGGATCTTTCACACAGCAGGAGTACGGTAATGAATAGTAGGCACTGGAAGTATAGAAAATCTACGTTCAGAAGAATTACCAGAACTCTAGATCTACGAGATGCGTACGATTAAAGCAAAACACTACAAAGAAGTTTATGTAATGTGCTTTTCAGATTATCTGCGCGCACCTTGTTGTTAGTGCGAGTATCTAAATTTTCTAGCTAAAAGGTATATTGCCTATCGTTCCTGATTGTCTGCAGTTGTATCCCATAATATTGTTTCGCATTAATGCAACCAGGTATTAAAAATGTACGGGATTTTCTGTTTCGAGAACCTGCAGAAATTGGTTTACCATGCTTGCGATGAGGAGCTGCTTGGGTTGATTACACAAAGTCTCCAGCGGAGATCCAGTGGATGTTCATCGGATTTAAATAGGGATGACAACTGGGTACTTTATGCGGCGCATGTTTCGCCACTTGTCAACAAACTGTTTGCCTTTTTGACTATTTATGTGTATGGTACTGTAATTATTATAGATATCGTAATGAAATTAAGTACTATGTTTTCTTTGGAATCTAGAAGAATGATTCTGTGGAAGATATTAGCTACTTCTTCACGCCACTTTTGGCATCGCACATGTTCCTGGCTTCCGAGCTATCCGATGGTTTTCGTATTATGGAAGGTACCAACAACATTCATCTGCTTTTCTTCCGCGTATGTACGCTATATATATGGGTAAACAGATAAAAGTAAAATTATGCTGTAAATTTTAATCTTTCACCGCTTCTATGTAGAGTAGTTATCCAGGGCATAGATTCATTTGCGCATGGATCCGGATGCATAGTTATTCCTCTGTGGCTTATTAATTATAATTATAGACGTGTTTAAACTACTCTATTATGTACCCTGTTTTACCACTGCCGTTGGCGTTTGATGATAGTTTTTGTTACTGACGTTTAAACAATACAGGTGATGGAATTAACATGCATCCTGGCCTCCACGCTTCCGTTCCATTATGTGACATTCTTGGGATTAACTATTAAACGGCTGTTTCGAATGGGATTCGTATCATTCCACTCCAAGTATACATACCAAATGTGGAAACATATTTTGCTTATGCCTACGTAGCCATTGCTTATTTCCAGCATTTTCCTTGACGATGGAGATCAGGATCCCGCTGACGAATACTGGCTAATTAAGAATGCGGTAAAAAATTTGGAAAGATTCGCCAAGGAAGAGCCGACTTGCATCTTTCAAGTAAGTTCTGTAGGCGGTACACTTTACACGTATGCGCAATAGCACACATTACTAATAGTTTACCACGCATTCTCTAGAAACACAATCTATTGTAGTATTATAGAGTTGTGTACAGTAATATTATATTATGCATACAGCTTGCAGAACACGTTTTCCTTCCGGAAAGCATAGTAGAAAGCTGTGAGTCGGCCTTAAAAAAGATCCTCAATCTGGACCCTTTCAAATACTCTATCGAGGAAATAAACTTGTATTGCATGGGAAAGGTTATAACTGCTCATTCTCATCACCGGTGAGAAAATATTATTTAAGCGTCCGCGAGAAGGTTGCGATAGACCCTCGCACATGCAAGATTCCATGTTTATGGAGAAAATTTATTCAACCAATTATTACCCATTCGAAAAGCGCAAATACTTTGTAAACGAGATTTTAATTTTGTGTTTTAGCATTGATTCCGAGAACACCATTGATTTTCAAGATGCTACGTTATTATCCATGTTGCTGGATTTTTCTTCCTCATCAGTCTCTGAATATTCATCCGCAGGAAACAATGTCCGACAAGTATATGATAGGATACAAACTTTTTTACCGTATAAAACTAAATTTAAATGCTAAATTGGTGTTTTCTCATGATAGGTGATCCATCTGGAGGACAAGGATTCCACAAGTCCCAGTTCTTCCTGCGCAAATTCATCCAGTGGATCTTTCGCGCCACTGCCCAGCTCGGATACGGTGAACTTTAAGAGCATACCATCCATATCCGTCATGCCGAACTGGTCATCTTTTTACGCTGCTCTTCCGCCACAGTAACGGCGCTATTCGACCGCACCGGGTGCACGTGCTAAAAATTTCCCCATCCTTTCATCTCGCATTAATAGGCCGAGTTCGTGGAAAAACATTATAAACGTTTATGTTGTATTGTAACTGCACATAGGTAAATTCTTCCTTAATTAACTTTTAGGCTCAAAGCGGAAACTTGGTGTCGTATTTGTATGATGCCCTCCAGATTATGGTAACCCATGTGCACTCAACCAAGTACCAAGAATCTCAGTCCAGCAAAAAAGAAATGCTCAAACTTTTGGAGATTATGGAAAAAGTTATCCGTGCTCCGGAATATAAAAAGGTCACTGAGAATATATTATGCACCATGCAAACCCATGATCAGCATTGCACCTGTGACCACCTTGACCTTATCTAAAATATATATATAGGCCTTATACTTTTGTAGTTGTCCCTCGGCGCCCAGAATGTGGTCTCAAATTTGCGCACGATTTTAAAGAACTCACACTTTCCGATTTCCTCTACCTGGCTAGCTCAGTCTGCAACGTATACAGAACAGATAAAACGCATAATTATCTCCTACATCAGCTCCAGTTGCCTGGATCCTCATGGGAACAATGAATGGCGGAATCTCATGCTGGGGATGAAGACCGCTCAACAAATTATTTCTGAACGTTTGAGAGATATGAATTCGTTCATCACAGCCAAGCTGGCGTCCAAAATCGCAATCTCCGACGTACTGCGAGATGCCGGTGACGTTAAACATTTTGTTTTTGTGGATCGCCAGGCAGAATTTTGTCTGTCACCATCACTAGCGGAAAGCAGCCGTAGTATGGTAAACGCACACAGTTTCTTATTGCAGAGTTACTTAAGTTGTATGTATCTGCTCCTGTGCGTGGAACTGATTTCGCTTTTCCGTTGCAAACATGCTTAGAAAGCTTTTGAAACAGTTGGGAAAGCGAACTACCAGAAACTGGATAATATTTTTTAAAAACAAATATTTTTTGAAGCACATGAAAACAAAAGCTTTTGAAAATAGTGGCAGATATTAGGGTAAAATAAATCTTTCGATGCTGCAGCATGCCAGTGTGATATTACATCAGTAGAAGTATTCTAATAAATTGATTGTTTTGATCGTAAGAGCCGTAAAATGCCGTAATAATTAAAAAAGTGATAAGATACATGATCAAATTGTAAATAGTGAAAACTCAACCAGTACGGACATGCTTTTGGTAATAAAAGATTGGCAATAATAAAATTTTATACATTTTACTACTACAAGGCACAAGCAGGCGTTTTCCGCTCTCTGTACTGTACAGTGTACTTGTACAACGGGATATGCACTATGCAACGGTGATTTAGCCAGTCCTTGATCGCACGAGCATGAACAGTGGCACATATAAGCCATCGTTAAACACCCACACGAGGGTAGCATCAGGATACCGTATACATACTCGTATATCCCGATTGCAGAACAACGTATTTACGATTAGTTTTTAATATTAGTTATGATTTGGACTGCAGCATTCACCCAATAAACAGTTTGCATGTTACAGATATTGAATGACATCAATTTAATTTTGGATCTCATTCCAACGCGAACAAGATCGCTGCAACAACCAATCATAGTGGAAAATCATGGGCGAGTGTGTGCGTACAGTCAATTCGACGCAATCAGAACAAGGTGCGCAGAACCATGTAATTGCTTGCAAAACATAGCTGAAATTTACGGGAAATATGGATGAGAAACGCACATATATGCCCACATTAGGTTATTAGTATTTATAAATTAACACATTAAATATTTATCTACTGTAACTGCATTCTTCAATTGTTTGTTCAATTATTAAATCAGCCAACCAGCACCAGCAAGTACGAAAACCCCTCACCGCTACGAACTGTTCACGTGGCATATCCCCTCCACTTCCGGCAATCGCATACGCAACCTGCAGCAACGACTCATCGACCGGCTCACTCAACTGACCACAACAACATCCGCCCGACCGCGAAAACAGCAATCTTTAATAACACGCTTGTTATATTGATAATGACGTGTATCTTGAGCTGATTTTGACATTTATTTATTTATTTTGGCATGTATACTTCGCGTTCCGAAATAATTGCTCACAAGTCAAAATGTTCTGCATTTCTTAAAATTCAAATTAATTGCGGCAAGTCTAAAAAATTTTTGCAGCCGTTTTTCAGAATGTATTTCGTATTCGGAATAGTAAACGCAGTAATTATTACAACGGTTCGAACATATAAAACTAATAAAAGTGATGTTACTGTACCGTTGTATAGGCATGAAAAAAATGCCTACACACCAAAATCAACGATAGACATTTTATAATCTGACGTTGTATCAAAACCAAGCAGTTGGGCATCGGCTGCTATACAGTAACGTAACATAGAACAGTGGCGGAATATGTTTTGGATGTCTGAATACAATAATACTCAATGACCGACTGCAACAAGATTGTTTATAATTAGTAAATCTGTAGATTGTGACGTATCTTTTTATTTTCCGCATGTGAGATGAAAGTGATTTTTGAGAAACCCAGATTTCAAAAATATGACGGCAGATTGGTACAATTGTTAACCGCAATTGTGAGAAGGAATATAACCAAAAATCCTTGTTGTAGCATTTTCGACACCGGACCATTGCCCATCCTAAAAGCGAAGATTCTGCCTGACAGCTGAACTTCATCAACGAGTGGCTAAAATTCTAATTCCACGACATTTTCCCACCATAATTTAATGGTGTGAAAATTCTCATCGTCCGTCTTACAACGCGGAGACGATCCAGCGTTGACGACATTAGAATGTGGAACAGTTGGTTCAAATCAAAATCGCGGCCACATAACTCATTTTAAGTAGCGGATATATTAATAACGGTTAAGATGTCGAATAGACGGAAATGTGTGCGCGTGAAGATACACACACACGCACTCTTCGGCATTAACCGTTATGAGTGACCACAACCACACAGCATCCTCCTCCGGGGCTTGTATAAATAACCCCGGTACAACACCGTGTGTGATGCGCTGCTGTGCTACAGGAAATCCTAATGGGGCTTATGCTAACATCGCGCGCACATGGTTTGTTTTAATGCGCGTCTCCGGCAAAAGGTGACAGAGATGCGCGGCATATTGTACATCCGCCAGCAGTATATGTACGGCTGTCTGCAGTAATATTAGATTATCGGCACAGTATGAAATCAAGTTGTCGGAACTAACTAATTGTCTGCCGTCTAGCATGTTTTGGGCCTCACCAAACCGGTACTTGTTGTTTTTGTGGTTGACCGGACAATTACACCGGATGGCAACATGTAAAAGTTGCCGCTAAAAATCAAAATAATGCCATGATTGATTGACCATGTGCAACGACTTGATGTGAGAGATTTTATTTGACCATACTCTCTTACTTTTACCATGAATACATTTTTTTCTACCAGATTTGTTTCGACTGTTTCCGTGCAAATGTTTTTTTATTCCCCCAATGAAAAAACCTCGAAGAACATAGAATGTACTCTGTACATGGAAAAACCAAGCAGAAAATTTAATTTTTGTATTATATTTTGTTGCATGGTGTTGTATTTTGTTTTCAAATAATTAGCGACCACAACTTAGCGAGAAAACTCTGTTAGTACTGCAGTGTGTACTGTACGGGTTGATTTCAAAGTGTAAGCGGCATAACTATGTAAAAAGTTATATAATAAAATTAAAAAGCGTAATGGGACATGGTGCATGCATGTTTTTGTACTTAGCTCCAGCGTCACTTGAATTCATCTGCCATAATTGGAATATTTATTACGAGTTTCAAAAAGATACCACAGGCAAGGGCTGAATTATAGCACGTTATTGCACATTATCACACTAATTATTTTACCAAAAACATCCAAATATTAAAATTATATGCTTTAGATAGTTTACCAAGACAGTCCGCAAATTTCTCACCGTGACAGATAGAAGTATACCTGTATATCAAAATTAATAATTAAAGCAATATGTATATCACTTGTAGAGCTGTACCGTACAGTTGATCGGTTAAAGCAATGCTCTGTTTCAAAGACACAGAACGAGGATTGGATTTATTTCGCACTTCATCGAGCGCCATAAACTTTAAATAGGCACGTTCCCAGATGACTACAATGAATGAGATTCTCCAGTTAATTTATGGTGAATGGAAGTGCTAAGCGCCATTCCGATTCTCATTAGCATAAATCATCGTATAAGTGGACGTCAGAACCGTAGCACGGTCTTAAACTCTTTAAGATGTGTGGATAGAATTATAGAAGTGCACCTTTGGATCCTAAATTCTTAATATACCGGCAGGCGGCAGTAGATAGGTGGCGGCCCCTTCCCTTTTGATATGCAGAATTTACAGGCACGCACGGGCGTTCATATAAGTACTCGAAACTAGGTGTGTCCTCTTCATCTGCCGGACTGCGGTATTATGTACATACATCCGGCTGGACAGTGATCACGTGACCGGAGTGCATCGCAACGTCGACACCGGCATGCGCAGTATGATTGTCATGCACAGGATGCACATTGCAAGCCGGATAATTAATTCCACAACCTGATCGCCAATGCAAATGAACTGCCGAATGATCCTGAGATTGTGCGAGTAATGCTGCGGAAAATGTCACTCGGCAATGGATGGGATGTAATCTGATCGCATAACCGTTTACCCATCCATTTGCAAATTGTTCTTTAATGTTTGTATTATTATATCTGGTTAAACTTAAATTTACGAGCACCGATCGATGTTACTGGAATTATGAATAACTGTCACAGATATAGGCCTTTTATGTATACTAATATTACACATGCGTAGTATAACGCAAAAGGTAATGCCTAAATCACACAATTTGAATTATTTAACGAAATTTTATTAAAGATGATAAGTTTAAAGTATAACATGTATCTGTATGCAGTTGAACTTTATATACGTATATGTAAGGCCGTGTTGTAGAAAACCGATAAAATGCTATGCTATATAGGAAACTTGCGTCGAATAGAAGCCTACCAAATATTTTAATCGAACTGTATGCGAAATTTTGAAACCAGGAGTTTTTTTCCAGACTGGCAGCAGGAAATTCGAAAATAAGTCAAATACACAAACGGAAGTCGATGTTATTAATATGTTTGTCTTGAGCGCATGTACGGTCCAGTACGGATACTGTAATTTCCAAAATATTTTATATAAACAAATTATAGAAAATATATTTATATATGCAGTTTGTATTTACAAAACGGTAAATTAAAGGCTCGTACGTATGCTGTTATTAAATTAATTTGTAAACGTTTTTAATGATACGAGGCTTATTATAGACCCCGGGGTATGCAATCGCTTATTTCCATATTATGGACATTCTAAAACAGTGCGATTCACACTCAGCGAGCGTCTTGTAAAGTTGACCTATGTTGCGGCTGCTTTTTTTATGCCTGACCATGAGTCAGTAATAAGAACCCGGTTCGCACACATAATTAACAGTATTTCCATTCCGTTGCAACTATGAACAACGTTATGTTAGCCATGGCATGAATGACCAGCCGTATATCCACCATGCAGCAGATCACTGATGATGATTGCTCTGCATTTAGCGGAATCTTTTGATCTATGGCATGAAAAATATATGTGGATGTGAATCATTCATTCATTGTGGACTGAAGGGCGGGCGGTCGGTATGCGCTGTAGAGTGTTACACAAGGCGCTTGCTGATTAAACTGACCGATATGGAAAAGCCGAGACGAAGATGACGCTGATGTTCAGCCAGATTATTATTTGCCCAACCGTCGATAAAACGCACTGTTCTCGACTGACCACACCAACCGGCAAGGAAATGCATCATTGTGGGAAAAAAGCTGTTAAATGCTTACTGATGCTGTTAAGACATTTGGTAATAATTAGCAATAAAGATTAACGATAATATCATCCGCAGAGTAATGGAGCAACAGGTGTTCTAATTAGCATCGACGCTTTCTTACATGTATTGAATTTCCCCTGATAATTTGTTTGATATAAAAATAAAATGTGGACAGTAATAGTCTAAAAACGGAACAAATTCTGAGATTATATTGCATTTAATTTAACGCGGTCTTCTGGAATTATTCGTTTATTTTACGTGGCATTCAGAACGTAAAAGTCTGATTGATAAAAAAAATTCGACAAGCAGATCCTCAAGAACAGGATCCTGAAATAAATTCTCTCATAAACTGCTTCATTCAGCGTGTGAACCAAATCGATGGCATCCTTGAGTTCTCTGACTGAAACGGCATATTTTTACTGTAAAATCCGGTTTCCATTTTACGCTCTAAACATTCCGCCTTCCTGTTGCGTAGCCGGCTAACCTGGCCCATTCATTCATTCACGCGAGTTTCATTTTATGAATGAATGCCCCGGCCAAACCGCATTTGAGTCGAGAGAGAGAACCAGAGAGAGAAACAGAGAGAGAGACGGAGTTGTAGCAGACTGCAGTACGAGTGCAACGCTTGGCAGCGCAGTGCATCTCAACGTGCTGGCACGCCTTCAATGGGAGTACGTACAATTCAACAGCACGCAGTGGCAACGGTGCACCGCTCGGCTGCCTCAAGCAGCTCTTTCGACTGTATGAAGCGTTATTGTCGAGGGTACGCATTTTCCATAACTCAATGGGCAAAAACTCCAACCACATGAGAAATTATGGTTTTTGGCGAACTGTTTACCACACAACTTTTCTCATGAAATCACGTGCTAATATTTTGGCCCATCATTCGAATCCTCTCCGGTGTGGATTAGTCAACGTTTGTTAGATTGTGAAGGGAATTTTTATCTGTTGGATTGTATATCGTTCAACGGCGTGTCCATGCCGTCCTTTCAAGATTTACTGGTGAGGATCCATAATCAGCGCACTGTCGATGAGGATGTACCGCGCAAAATGACATGTCGAACGCCGAGTTCCGCGTCTAGTCACTCCACGCACAGCCATTCATCCTCGTCGTCCACGTTCTCGTCCCTGTCGACGGGCAGTACATCGTCAGCTGCCTCCGATGACGGCTGGCAGAAGGACATCGAAATACGGGAGATTTATAAAAGCGGGAAGCTAAAATTGATCCCATTGGAAAAACGGATCTTTACTCGACAGGTGAGTTGGTAGATCGCACAGGAAATACTTTACCGTAGTTTGGAAGAGTGGGTTCAGAGTTCTGACCAAAACTTGTGCTGTTATTCGCAAAAATGAAGGAAATTCAAAATTCGGATACTCAGATATTGAAGCGATGAAAGCTGGCTTTTTATGTACGTCAGCAGTTTATAGTATTTTGGCCAGATTTTAATTGCTTATATTCCTATACTTTTACTTCTTTACAGTCCGTACTGAGAAATCTGTTATTGTGTTTTATATTGCTTCTTGGAAATTTTTTTATGAACGACAGTGTATGTAGCGGCAACATTTTTCGATTGAAATCTAAATTTTTAAATGAAATTTAAGCATTACGTGAGTCAGATTTTTAATTGTTTATATCCGGCTGGTTACATCTCATCGCCTAAAAATACCAGTTTATCTTATTTCTTGGAATTTTTACATGAATAGCATCAGGCAACAATGAAAAACGTAGTGACAAGTTTTCGTTGAAAATTGTATTGTAATTTTGGCGCGCGTTTTTTTTCGAACTCTGCCAGTGAATTTCTGCTCGTAGAATACATAAGCACGCTGATCAGCTGCTAAATGATCGGGGCTTGGCTTTTTATTGCTGTTAATTTTGACATTTGACTTTTATGATTTTCGATTTGTAACGATTTTCCATTTTCCCGTTTTTATCTGGTCCGTGCCGCGTTCGATCTGTGCGAAAACGAGTGGTGTGAAATGTATGAAAATATGTGCAGAAAACAAAAGATGAATAATCCGGGCAATTGTTTCGCCCGTGCACTGACCCAGTCCAGGGCTTTGAGCAGTGTTATTCATTTTAAAAGCAGGTGTATACAAAATTTCTGGTGATGAATGGATGATTTTGCGTTGGTAAACATCGGCTGGAGATTCGTCTGTGAGTCAAACTCACTCATATTTCTCAAGTGACTGCTGCCATGAGAATGCTCGAGTACGATTTCAGGGTGCGTTTCCTCAAATTATTTCTTACTCGCTGTGTTACACCTGGATGAGTTATTAGATGTTTTACACAGTGTTCACGCTGTTACAGCTTCACTTGACACGTTTTTTTCTTTCCTGAAGCTTCACTGAAGAGCTGTTGCGAATTTTTCCGGCTTCATTAATATTTATTTCAATTTGTTCCCTCTATGTTTCAGTTTGTTTTCGTATTCAGTACAGTATTTATGTGTCGGTTTTATATTGATTCTGATATCGTACTGAATGTGGTTTTGAGCGATTAATTCGAAAATTTCCAGGTTAAAATTTTATTATCGTGTTTTTCTTTTTATTCCACTGTCAAACCATTTTAAATAATTTTCCGGTATCGGTCGATGGTGGTTGTATCAGGTAATTTCGGGAACCGCTTTTATTCGACGGAAATGCGCCCATTGTTTCTATGAATCATGATAATACAATTTCCGTGGAGGTTTGAATGTTAGCCGTGAAGGAGATTAGGTTTAAACAAGTGAAAATGCTTATCAGAAATTGTTTAGAAAATGTTTAGAGTTTATGATTAGGCTTTTGAGCATTTCTGTTTGCATAACCGATTATCGATCCTGATTTCGGGGCTGTTGGATAGGGTGCCATATGTTGATTGATTTGCGTCATTTTCCCATTACGAAATCAGCACATTATAGTTTATAGGATATTCTGGCTAAACTGTTTATTTTTAGTATGCAAGATTTTCATTGGGCTGGGTCATTACATAATTTAATTAAAAATTGGAAAGAATCAAAAATAACTGCTTCAACATACCGTTCTTTTGGTGGGATTTTATTTGACAGTTTAAATAAGTTTGATAAGTACTGTAAAACTTGGGATTTTGAACTTTTTTTTGCTGGGTGGAATTTTGTTAACAACAAATGCAACACAAACCGGCTCATTGAAAGAATCTTGTAGCATCATGATTCGATGGAAATTTTTCTTACTGATATTTCTTTGAATTGCGAGCAATGATCCTAAGAAGTTGAATGAAAAATGTCGTTGTGTGACATATGGACGTGTGAAAAAACTATGCGCTATAAGACGAAAAATATTTATATTTTGGTGGTTAACGCTGTGTGGGTGTTTTGTTGTTTAGCGGGAAAAGGCGTATTATTGTTTATTTTGCATCCACGATGAGAGCCGTCCATTTTGGAGCTGTACGAGGATCACAGGAGTTCCTTATCGCATGAGCCACTGCGGGTGATCACGCTCAGCCAGTGCCAGCACGTTTCCAATATCAATCCCAATCAGCACTCCTTCACGCTCACACTGGCCAACGAAATCTACCAGCTGGCCGCGGAGAATCACACGGATATGCAGGATTGGATTGGCACGTTGCGGACCGTTGCAGGAGCTACAGTCTTTCCAGGTATGTAGCAGCCTGATAACTCTAATTTATTCCTGAAAATTATTTTAAAACTGGCATCCTGTTTTCTAAGTAAACTGTAAAGGAGCTACTGTATTATTTACTCATTTTTCTGGATGTTTAGCTATAATGTTTTGGGTATTGCACAGTGTAGTAAGAATTGATTAGCATCGGATTTTTCTTGATGACTTTTGAGTTAGGAAAGTAGATCAAATCAATTTGTTGACTGTAGGATATACTTTTTTATGGCGATATCGTAGTGAGTGGCATATGCGGAAAATACATGGAATGAATGAAGACTTTTACTGTATCTAAAGTAAAGTATCCATCTAAAGCATTGTTTGTTACAGTCGTTGTTATTATTTTATTTCTAAATGAGCCGGATTGCTTCACAGTCCGTGCTGCACTTCTTGTGGAAGTCTACATTTTAAAGGTATTATTATCCCATATTTTTT